TCCGTAAAAGGCCCGGCGGCTTTTAATCCTGTTAATTCAGTATTGGCATGGAAGTAGTGACAGTGATCCACGATGAAAGGACGATAATTCAGGAAAACGATTTCCGGTATGAAAGCAGCGCCTCCTTGCGGAGGATCACACCCAGCACCCAAGTGGGACGGCTGAGCGGTTCACACTCTGACATTGGTTTTCAGTTGGCTCAATTCCCAGCAAAATGGCGATGGAACGGAAAGGTGGCAGAGTCGGAGGAAAAATATTGTTGAACAAATTGTTGATGCGCGTCTGCAGTGACTCAGCGGCAGCTCACGAGCGGTGGAAAAACTGCGGTGGGAAACCTGTTTTGGGGAAGGATCACATGAAACACCATGAATCAAACCAAAGGAGTGGACAGCGTGTGCAAAAGTTCATTGAGCAGGTACACGAGAAAGCGTCCTTTCTCGCTTCACAATCTCAAACCACCGTCTTCGTTGGGCAGTGGATGGAATGAGATTCACTGCCCCCTGCTTTTGTGGTAGAAACGCAAAGAGAAGCGGAACCCTTAGGAACAGGGGTTGACACACACACACACACGCCACACACAAACAACATTATAGGACCGGATAACCCCACATGTTAGCAACTTAGTAAAGAGAGAATGTCTGCGCAGGTGCTTGGTGACAATTGGTGGGTGGCAATTGGTTGGTGTGACAATTGATTAATGACAACTGGTTGAGGACCATGTTTTTCAGAAAAAACATGCCCTCAAAAATAGCCCTTTCAGAAGGGCAGAGGGCAGAGACCTACCAACCAGTTGTCACCAACCAGTTGCCACCAACCAATTGTCACCAACTTGCCACCCACCAATTGCTACCAACCAGTTGCTACCAACTAATTGTCACCAACCAATTGTCATCAACCGGCTGTCATCAACCAACTGCCACCCACCAATTGTCACCAACAAACTTCCACCAACCAATTGCCACCAACAAGCTGCCACCAACCAATTGCCACCAACCAATTGCCACCAACAAACTGCCACCAACCAATTGCCACCAACCAATTGCCACCAACAGACTGCCACCAACCAATTGCCACCAACCAATTGGCACCAGGAAATTGCCACCAACCAACTGCCACCAACCAATTGTCACCCACCAACCACCAATTGTCCGCTCCTGTGCCTGGTGAAGTTGTGAACATGTGGGGTTATCCGGTCCTATAATTTTTTGTTACGTGTGTTGCACTGTCAATGCTGCTTTTGTTAGACTGCAGCAGCTAGCAGCTAGTACTTACTTGGCAATTGAGCTTTGGCGCCTGGCAACTGACTGCTCAAGGGTGGAGCAATTTGATGACTATTAACTGACATAAATAGGTGGAGGAGTATTATTATTACCTCCCAGGTGAGTAGCTGCAGCTCAGTAACAGCATCTCACACAAGACATGTGTAGACAGTGTAGGCCCTGTAAGCCATATGCTATAGGCCACTCAGCTCTAGACCTAGTGAAACTTGCGCTGGCAACCAGCATTTTGCGGCAATGGGATGGGAATCCGCACTCGAGACCCGTCTGAAACAAACGGCCTCCCAAACTTTGGGACACTCTCCAACCACCTAGAAACCGCGCTTGCATCCACCCTCCGCTGCGGGAGGAGTTCAGGTCCTATCCACCACTTGCTGCGCTGTCATAATTACGTGATCCTGCGCTGTCATAATTACGTGATCCTATCAATCCTTTGGTCCAAAGCACCATTTAGACTCTATTCTTCTCGCGGCACTGCGACAATCAGAAAAAGTTGCTCGCAGCCCGAAATCTAAGGGCCTCACGTGGTGCGCGTCGCTCAATTGATGCCTGCAAAGTTGCAAGCCCAACGACGAGCACATTCAAGACACTTCTTAGACTTCTTGTTGTTTCTTGATTAAAGTGGTAGGTGCTTTCAGTTTGGATGTGTGTGGAGCTTTTGAATTTGCTCAAATGAATGCCTGTCCTTGAGGCCCTCGTGCATGTCATGAGTTGAGTAGCAATGAGCTTGGGCCTTGGATACACCCGCTGGAGGTTCTGAGTTCTGGTCAAGCATAGGCAAAAAAAATCAAACTACCAAAGAAACGCCAATTTGGAGACGTCTCCAAGTCTCTAAGTCCCGGGCATCAGCTTCTCGCCAAAGTGCGGCCTCGAGACCTTCCTCCTGCTTTCTGCGGAGTGAGCGAACCAAAGTCCTCACCGCCACAGGCGACTGGGCCGCAATGCGCTCGGCTAAGGCCAAGGCTTCGGCCTGAGCTGATGGACCATCCTCCTGAACTTGGGAAACAAGACGAAGTTCTTTGGCCTCTTCACCAGTGACCATGTCACCTGTCAGAAGAAGCCGGTAGGCCGTCTCATACCCAGCAACACTGGCAATCATATGTGTAGCACCCATGCCGGGGTGGAGCCCAAGTGAAACAAATGGGAAGCCCATCTTGGCCGTTCTGGCGGCCACACGAATATCACAAGCCATTGCTAGGCACATTCCAGCTCCCACAGCTGGACCATTGATTGCAGCCACTACGGGCAATGGCAAAGACCGAACCGCTAGGAATCGGTGGTAAAAGTCATGCATGATCTGTGAATTTCTTGATGGTGTGTCTTTGCGCCGCTGTTCCAACCACTTCTGATCACCGCCCGCTGAGAATGCTTTGCCAGAACCAGTAATCAGAACGGCCCCAAAATCCGCTGCATTTTCATGGATACTTTCCAGAACTTTGCCAAAGTCCTCCACAAGTTGTGCTGTCATAGCATTCATCTTCTCTGGCTGGTTTAAAATGATGCGTGCAACCCTGCCAACCTTTTCGATTTTGACAGCCATTGCTCCGCGAGTAGTGCTTCTTGTCAAGACTGCACAATTGAACACATGATAAAATATGGACTTTGATTTGCAAAACTGTGTGGCACACATGTGCACAAAGAATTGCAAACACATGCAAAAACATGCGATGCTGACTTGAACCGATGAGCTGCGTGCTCGTGCGCTCTCGATTTCAACAATCTCCGGTAACTTCGTTTGGGGCGGACAAAAACCATGCCAAACAACCGCTAGGCTGCTGTCAAAAACTGTTAATCTCTTTATCGAACAGCAAAGTGCACAAACCCGCGCCTGCCCAATCAACATCTCCCAAGGCCATTGCATTCTTTGCCCGGCAGGTTCAAGTTGCAAAAATTTCTGTGGTAAGCATTTTTTGTTGATTTCGGGAAACGAGCCAACTCCCTGTCTCCTCACTAAAAGGGAGGTACTGACTGTGTCCAACATGCAAAGACCATGACAAGCAAGCGCTTCAGACTTACATTTTCTTCGAAACTCTCTTAACTCTGTTTGCCTTCTCTGCAGAGTTGTCCCTCTCCGACTGCAACGTCCAAGTGGTGAAGCCCCCCTTTTTGGAGCCAGGTTTCACGATGTGACACACCAATTGTCCAGAGGGACCCCTAAGACTGGGTGATGTCTACCAATGAGGCGGCTTCGGCTTCGTTCCTTGCACCATGAAAAGGGAGCAACTTTCCCAACCGAAGTTGTTGACAGTTTCATCACATGGCTGTGGTTTAAAATAACCTCAGAACCTGCACCCCAAGCAAAACCCACCTGAGTGTCACATGCTCACAAGTCTCATGGTTGTGGCTTCTAGATTTCGCCCAAACGACCACACTAAAGCCAAGGCATTAAACACATTAAACCAAGTAGAGTCGAGAGCCGAATCTTTGCCCCCATATTTAGGTGGGTGGAGGCTGGTCAAGCTTCCTTAAAGGCCGGGCTTGGCAAGTTTTTGAAGGGCTTTGGATGGATCGCCCATAACCATATAGATCATACATACCGAGTCCAATACAGCAAGCCGTACAAACGCCGTGCTGATATTGCCCTTTTTTGCTCTGACACTGCTCTGGGGGCACACCCCTAGATGTGAGCATGATCCAACTTAATTTCAAGATCGTAGAAGGTCTACCGGCACGGTGTCTGCCATTCCAGTGGTGCAGCCTGGCATTCAAAGCATATATCCGTATACAATATTGTTACATATTGTCATAATGAATCGACCATGAATGCTTGGACCACGTTGTCTATAGATTAATGATGATTAATGCAATTCTGTCCATGTTGTCTTGCACCAGTCAGATGAAGCTTGAGTCAAAAAAATGCAACTTGCAAACATTTACGGCGCCTTACCATGCAAATGGCCGGTTGCCGTCAGCATCCTGACAAAAGCGCATTCTGCTTCAAGACTGGTCAATGTGGCCAGGTACATCCTGTTACCAGGCAAAATCAGGCAAAGCAAAACGCAGTGCCTTTTCAAATCCTGCTTGCATTGATGAGGATGATCTGACCTGAGGCCCACAAAGCAGGCAACTCATGTCTGAAGGTGGGCGAAGCTCCTGAAGCACTTCTAGTTTTAGACTCATGAAGTGTTGAACACTTTGCGCTCGAAATAGCTCTGCCAGTCAAAGCAGGGAAGCAATTAATTGAAGTTGCAAAAGCTACGCACCCTTTTGGTCAACATTTCCTGTGCTAAGCTGCCAGCTAGCCAGGCATTCTTGGATAGCCATACCCATAGGTTGGCCGAGGTTGAGGCCACCACAGCGCAATTGATGGCGCCATTGTTGCTGGCATCTGCGTGTGTTGCAGGAAACTGTGCTGCTGCGGCTGCTGCGCTTGGTGGTGCCCCTGCCGACGTGGCAAGGGGCTGCGGCTTCGTTTGGCCTTTTGCGAGGCCTCAGCCTCAGCCGCCTCTCTTTTGCACACGTCGCATGCAATACGAAAGGCCTCTCTGGCCGCATCTTCGCAAGCTGCTGGGCTGCCTGCCACTAGTATTGCGATAGCCTTCGCCTCTGCTGGAAGGCCATTCTCTGTCCTCCACGGCAGGGCCGGAGCTGCCTCTTAAAAACTGTGAAACTGTTTGCTTAATTTATCTCCTCCACAGTGAGACTCGGACCTGCTACCGTCTTCTTTTCCATGGCAAGTGTTGGAACCTTTTATGCATTTAAACCAAGCGTTTACACACGATAAAACAGATTCGTAAATGTGGGTGAGCAAGACTCTTGTGGTGTTGTCTTGTCTTGCAATTGAGAAAGCAAGGGCTGAACGATTGAACATTCAAGCCACATTCCTCCAAACGTAAATGGTTTTTGGAATTTTGAAGATTAATCAAACATGTTAGTTTGTGCTGACTCTGCCTCCACGTCTCGTCCATATGTTTGACCTGAGTGTCTCTTTGGATCCGCGCAGCGCATGCATGGGCACGCTTGTAAAACACAAAATCAATAGCCTGCAACATGTGCAACAACATGTGTAAAATGTATGGCGGAAGTGGGGGCACTCCAATTCTGATTAATGTTCTCCCAAACTGGCAAGGACACCAAATATGCAACATGAAGACTTTGGTTCATTGTCACGCTGCTTCTGTGGAGTGCTTCATGACCACGTTGTGCTTGTCTGCTAATGGTCGCAGCTTCCACTCTAAAGTGGTGTTGGAAAGGGCCTTGGAAGCATCACAAGAGATCACAAAGTATTAATTACCTCAGCAGAAGCCTAAAGGACACTTTCGCGCAAGTCTTTCAACCCCATCCAACAAGCAAAGTACACGGTCTTTCAATCCCATCATTTCCAAACTTCCCCTGCTTTCAACTTGAGCCTTTGCCTGACAAGGGTAATGTGCGCCGTTATATTCACATTCCATGATGTTATGAGGGCCTGGCTGGCACATCAATCGTCTTCTCCGAGAGCTGGGCAAGAAACTGCCGCAGAAACGTCCCTGCAACCTTTACCGCAGAGCAGCTTCCTTTCAATTTGATAATCTGCCCTGCCAGGTCGACGTGCAGCTTCGGCCTTCACAGGCGAAACTCAAATGACATCAAACATGCATATCTTGCCAGGAAAGGCCAGGCTCTGTGCTGGGGCTAATCCAAGATGCATTGCTCCGTGGCTTCAAACAACACAACACACTTACCACCCTGAAATTGGCATCCGGCTCAAACACCTTGCCTGCTCAATCTGAGATAATCGGTGTTCTTCTTACAGGTGGTGGGGTGGGCATGGGTCTTGAGAAGGGGAAAAAGCAAACGATGAGCAAAAAGATGGGATCTGCATAAAAGCTTGGACAGGTCTCGGTTTTCTCATCTATATATGTAGGGGTTACCGTGGGCTGCTCCACCGGATCATAAATGATCTATATAACATCAGTGTAAAACAGGCAGGTGAACGGCTGACAACACACGCTGAACAGAACAGCCTCTTGCAGGCTGTTCAGCCATGTTAGGATTCTACATTGGAGCCCTTTCCATGAGACAAAGGCCAAAAGCACCCCTCATACTTGGCCAGTACTTCGGCCGCTTCGCTGCTTGATTCTTCGACTTCGACATTGACTGGTACTTATGGTTGGGTGGAGTGGACACACCCATCCCTGTAAGGAGCTGGTGGAAAACACTAGTCAGTGGAGGTAGTCTTTCTGAAGTTGGACTGCCCGGCCTCCTTGGTGGCAAGGGGTGGAGCGTAGCTGCATCGTCACAGGCCAGTCGCTGGGCATTTCCCAGCACACTCCGGGAAAAGAGCCCTGGTCAGGCTCACCCAGCTTGGCACAATTTCATCAAATTGGTAATGATTCTGCTTTTAGTAGCGCGAGGCGCGCGCACACACTCACACACACAGGGTGAGACAAGAACTGTGTTGGGTATGGTGTGGCTCGAAGATTTCAAGTAGCAAGAAGAATCTGCTCTTGCAAAAGTTGGGGATATGTGAGAACGCCAGCATGTGGAGCAATTCCACGCCTCAACATGTGGACGCACTCAACTACCCTACACCACACACACACACATGCACAAAATCCCCTTCATGGAGCACGAACGCTTCCCAACAACAGCGGGCAGCGTGACACGGCAAATGCACCCATGCAGCGCACAGCAGGAGGGCAGTGCAATCACCGCTCATCTGTATACAAGTGAAAACGCTCCCGATATAGTTTGGATACTGCAACTCAATGTATTCAGATGTATTCAGACAGATTTTTGATTTGCGTCAGTTCAGAGCTGCTATCGTCAGTGCCCTGTGCGGGGTGGAATGGGCAACATGATCATGACTAAGCACAATTGAACTACGCGAGCAGGGGCAAACCAATGTGCAAAGCCACCAGCATGCACATGAGCTTCGCGAGCAGCTCATGCCAATTTCTGTAAGGTGAAGAAGGCCAGGACATGGGAGGCAAACAGCAACGGGCGACAAATTGACAATGTCAAACACTGCAACACAGCGGGGTAACTTGCCAAGATGCCACAGGGCAGGACACAACAGGACAACACAGAAGCCGAACTTGAAAGCGCAAAGCGATAGATACGTAGTAGGTAGGATTAGGGTACACATGGGCACGCCATTCTATAAAATCAACCGAAACACTGCGCAAGGCTTGAAAGGAAAACGCCGCGGACGCCAGGAAATCCCCAGAAATTCCAGAGACCAACCCAGTCCTTGATACATTGACTTTTTGATGTCGATCTGATCTGTTGTCTCTTTGATCCTTCAGGGAGTGACTGCCAAGTGGGACTTCAGACAGTTCAAGCACTTCAATCAAGCATCGCGTCCTGCCCAGAAACTCCATGATGAGCTCCTTGCATTGGTTGCACTTCTCCCTTGCACAGCAGCTGGTGCCAAAGTGAAGTGGACAAGTTGGACAAGTGAATCACTTTGCAAATGAACTCCTCCAGCAAGCCCTTCAATACAACAATCTATTATGTAATTACTAGCCATATTAGATTGAACCTGATGAACAACTGCGCAGGCCTTTCCCCAGTGAGGCGGAAGCCGTTCGCAGACTTGTCAATCTTCACACCTGGTTGGTGGTTTAAACTCACTTGAATAGTCATTGGGTTT